ATTTAAAGAGCGCATATACCGCTTGAGCTCCCCGCTGCGCACCCGCCAAGCACCAGATCGATAGCCTCCGACACAGGCCAGCGGCGTTCAGGGAATCCATTCCCATCACACTCTGTGGGGAAGAACTCGCGGTCTAGGGCTGGGGCAAACCGCTCACGTCATGCACCACACGAGAGGAAGTTCACGTCGTGTGTTCCTGGTACCCGACAAACACTGCCAAAACACATTCTGGAGGCTTGGGTGGGGTAGATAAATGAAGGACACTAGGTCCCGGCTGCCTGCTCTGTGAGCTCGCTTGCTTGTAACATTTCTACTTTTAAGCAAGAATAAGGAAAAGGCTGGTGGTAGTTGGGGCAGCTTTTAAGACAAAACAACGCTAAAGATTCAATTAAGATATACCTGAGTAAGGAGGTTTACCAGGAAAAAGCTCTAAAATTAGGCCGAGGTGGAGGTTGCACAGGACGGTGAGTACACTAACGGCTCTTAGAGAGGCTTACATAGATGTTAGATATTTATTAATGTGTACAGCTGATACTGAATATAGAGATACCAGAAATATGGTGCAGAATGTTTGCACGATACAAAGGCGCGCGCGAGCGCACGCGCGCGCACACACACGCACACACGTCCCACCTATGGACAGCTCCCCCAGGTCCTACAGTTGCTTTTGCTGGGTGCTTATGATGCCACTTGAAGGACAGCAGCACCCCAGTCTGCGCACACTAACCCGCAGGCCTGGGCTCCGGTTTCTGTTCAAGCTGTCTGCGTTCAAAGTCCCCCTGCATTTTCTCTTCTGAGGTCTGCCTGCCAGTCTCATTAAAGAGTAAGCCGCGTGGGCTGGGGCCATTGACCTGCCCAACCTCATCCACATCTATTCCCCTTGATCTTTTAGAAACAAATGATAGTTTGTTCCCTGGGAATGGTTGCTAGGAGATCACCAGATAAGTAGAAGTGATTAATAGGGAATTAAATTTATGTCACCCGTCAGCTGACAATAGGGACAGGCGTCCAGACATCGGGCGTACGTCCACAGGTGCCCGTGTGCGCGCATACAATTGTGCGTGGTTATATGCATGTGCTTCTGTGCTTGTGCACCCAAGGCTGTAAACTTGCATGCCTGGCGTTTGTGTGTACACATGTGCTTGTGTGTTTACATGTGTGTGCATCCAGGTACTCACCCCACCCCCACGCATCTCGTGAGCCCGGGAAAGACCTCCACGGAGGAAGGGAAGGGACACAAGACAGATGTGCCACCCTCTGTGCAGCAGGTGGGAATTGGGGTTGAGCTTTCATGCCCTGGGGGACCCCATTTTTCAAAGAAGCATTTTGGAGAATGTGTTCTCAGACCATAATGTGAATAATCATTTCCTCATTTCTGTTTGGAAAATTAATCTTCTGGCATCTTAAAGTGTGGCCAAGAGGTTTAGAGCCAGGTCAGCGGCTAACACCTGGCTTAGTACTTGAAAACAGGCCTCAGGGGACTGGGGAAGTCAGTCACGGCACCTTCGAGACAGCATTCGTATGAAAACGGAAGTGAACATCAACCCTGACATTGCTGAAAACACAGCTGAGCAGCAATGACAACAAAAACAGGTTATGAAATGATATTCATCGCATTATCCAGTTTTTGTACAATGAACTCTGCACAGCCATCCCTGTCGAAGACACCCGGGAGACTGCACACACTAGGCGTGTGCCAGCTTCTGACAATGGGACTGTGGCTGTGTTCGCTCCCTTCTTTTCTCTTGTCTGTCATTTCTGTTTTTGTTTTCTTTTTGCAGTACTGAGTATCAATCCCAGAACCTCTGCACTGAGCTACATCCCCAGCCCTTTTTTATTTTTTATTTTGAGACAGGATCTCGTTAACCAGGCTGGGCTCGAACTCAACATCTCCTGCCTCATCCTCCCGGAGTGCTAGGATCACAGGCCGGCGCCACTGTCTCCAGATGTCTTGTCTGTATTTTCTATGAGGAACACTTGTAACTTGTGCAATGCTAAAAAGGTACCAAGGAAAATGTCAGTTGTACTGAAGGCCTCCAGATGCCCCCTCCAGTGCGGGCGTGGAGGTGGTAAGGATGGCTATAGGGTCCTCAGAAGGAACTGGAAAGACAAGCCAAAGGGTCTGCTGTCCTTGGGTGACAGCAAGGAGGGTCCGTCTGCTCTGCACATGTCCTGCCCCTGCCTGGGGAAAAGCAAACCACTTGCTCCCTCCCTTGAGCCTTCCTCGCCATTTCTCCCAGTGGGACACACGGTCACCTTCTCGCCCGTGCTGGGGGACAGGTGGAGACCCAAGTGCCTCTGCTCTCGGAGGATGCTGGCAGGGGCGGTGGGAAGGGCCGTGACCCAGCCAGGATGGAAAGCTCCGCTGGGGCTGTCGGCATCTCTCGTCAGCCGCCCCCCCCCACATGGAGGCCCCTGGTGGCTCAGATACACAAAGCGAGAGCGGGTGCTGGGCTCAGGTCAGCATGAGTGTTACTTGGACGGCGACATTGAAGCTGGACAGCCGATCTCGCTGGCTTTGGGAGCACATTTCTGAATGGCTCATGGAGGTGTCGCTTTGGGGTCTCCGTCTGGCCCCCGCCCAGCACTGCTCCCTGACCCCCCGCACTGAGTAGCTTTTCCTCCATGCGCCCTCCCACCAGGACGGTCCGCCTTACAGCCTGCCTGAAACTTCCAGAACCCAAGCCAAACGGGCCTCTCCTCCTTTAAGTTGTGGGTGTCGGTTACTCTGTCCCTGGGACGGGGCCGCTGACAGGTACGGATGCTGTGGCCCAGTCGAACCCGCTTGTCACAGCTGTTGTGCTGAAGCACCAAGGGCCATCAGTCTGGTCCCATCTCTAAGTCATCACTTTGTTTCTTTCAATCTCAGCCAACTCCACAAAATGGAAACAGATAAGAAACCCTACATCTGTCCACAAAGCCACCAGAGAACCCAGAGCACTGCGGAGCTATGTCTAGGAGCTGGCTCTTGGCTTCAGACGGATGAAGCCTCCCCCTGTTGGAAGGAGCTCGGGTCCCGATCCTGATGGCCACCGGACAGAGTGTGACGGAGATGGGCTTGGCGGCCCTGCATGTGCCCTGACCTGAGCACAGCAGGGAAGCCTTCGGAGAAGCCACCCTGGCATCCCTCTCTCTCCTGGATCTACTTCTTCCTCCCACAGAAGGCCCAGGGGCTATACAGCTCTGAGCTAAACAAACTCCACAAAGGGCAGGGAGCCTCCACTGGGCTGCTCGCAGACTTTAATTCTACAGGGTGAAATTTAAAAGTCCTTTCCATTTGTTCAGCTCAAACTCCCCCTGGCCTGGGCACACAGTGTCCCTCCAAGGAGGCAGGACAGCCAGCCCTGAGAGGGCATGGCCCTGCCGACTGTCAAGGGCCCATCTGCTGTAGCTCCCAGGGTCCAGCCTGGGGTGGCAGCTGCATTCTGCCATCGCTGGCCACCCTGCAAGAGCACAGCTATGGTCCCCTTTCATAAGAGTACCAGCATCCATGGTCTGCTTCATTTCTGACAGAGCAGGACCAACCGAGAGGGAGAGGCTCCACCCCCTGCAGAGGACTCTCTGACACAGGGCTTGCGGGCAGCAGCTAGCAGCTGCGACCAGAGAACCCAACTGGGCTCTGCCAGTCAGGAGCTGGTTGGCTGTGACCTCCCTGAACCACTACAAGGGTCCACACAGGCACCCTCATGACAGGCAGTGAGACGGGGAGGCAGAACGGTCCCCAGAGGAATAGAACCCATTCAGGCAGCCCAGATCTCTAGGCTGAAAGCCTTGGGTCCCACGCCTGCGACACTGAGGATGCTCAGCTGGCCGTGTGAACTGGTACAGCGGGGAAGACGCGGACACACCTGTCTCGGAGAGCTTCGCTGTTCCCAGCTCTGCTCCTGGTGCTCTGTTCTTTTCCTGTCAGAGTTGAACTCAGCGAATCACACCGAACTGTCCCTGCTGCAGGCCCAGGAGCAGGCAGGGGACCAGAGAGGGTGCTTGCTTAGGGTTACCCCAGGGCGGCTCTGTGCACAGCCTTCTGAGGAGGGGCTGTGAGCACGATAAGTACAAAAGGGGTGCAGGCAGCAGGAAAGCACAAGGGAACAGAGGCTGCCCCCATACGAAGCCACCAGGTGCATGGAGTCCCCACCCCGCTCCACCGGAGAGTTACTTCTTCTCCAGCCCAGCTTCATGGAAACCTGCAGCAGGTTTGTGGCTTGGGCTCTGGCCTGTGTCAGGAGCAGCATGAAAGGTTGGGTGAAGGGAACACTCCCCTTGCTGGGGCCCCTTCAGCCACAATTCTTGCAGAGCCTGGGAGAGTCTGGCCCCAGGCCCTCTGATCGGGCTTGCTTTTATATTTATTAACCCACTTTCTCTCTTGGCATTTGGAGCAAGGAGGAAACCTCGGCCAGAGCTATGAATAGGCCAAGGCGGTCCCTGGGGAGCAGAGTGAGCTCATGCCTGCAGTGCAGGTGCCAAGTGCAATAAAGGTTCCCAGCTTGGCTGGACCAGGCTTCGGCCACCTCAGGGAGCGGAGGGGGCACCTCAGCTGAGCCCGGTGCCGCCTTCCCTCCTGCTGCCCATGCTGGCCACCTGGGCCCCAGCCAGGCACAGAGCCTGTGGTCGTGTGGAGTTATTCTGCCCTAGGTCAGACCTGACAAGAGGCGCTGAGGAAGAGGCGGGGGAGGGCTTGGCACAATGACATGGAATATAAATGACTCCTGTAAACAGAGAGTTTAATAAAAAGGCAGTGCGGGAATTTATGGGCAACCCAAGGATAATTAAAATTATTTATCTACTTACCTCCCTTGCTGGCTGATCAGTCTATTAATTATCTATTATACACCGCTGATTTGCATTTAGTAAGGGGATTGGGTAAGGGCAAGTGAAAAACACAGAGGGGCCAGGGAACCAAGCACTGGGGGCCCATGTGGCACTCCCCATGCCCGGGCCTCTCCCAGGCTCCAAGAGCCAGCAGGGGCCAAGCAGAAAGCGCCTCGCGAAGGGGTACGCACCTGTATGCAGGAGGGACACTCCTGGAGGACAGGATCCCTCGGAGGGGCCTGCAGAGCAGCTCCAGGGAAGGCCGGCAGGGTTTCCTCTGGCGGTTCTGACTTCACGCTGCATTTTCAAAAAGAAAACAAGAGCACAAAATCAGTTTCAATCTCTGAATATCTGGAATATATCAGACACACGCCGTCCCTTGCTCTTGATCAAAAATATCTCAGGACCGAGTGTCATGGGAACCGTGTCTTTTGAACACTGCAAACAAGAGAATGTTAGGCGGGGTGTTTTAACGGGGTGGCTCTGTCTACCCCAGAACATGTAAAGGATGCTCTGCACTGTGGTTCTGGCTGCTGTAGTGACATCTGAGGTGTGAGATGGAATGCTGGACCCGAGGGGTGGGGCGCTGGTGGGCCAGGGGGTCAGCTGGCCAGGATGGATCTGCAGGTGGGATGTCCCCAAGACGGGTCAACTCTCCTCTTGCATCCGTAGAGCTCTCTCGGGGCAGAAGCTCCAGTCCCACCCTGATGCAATGTTGGCTCCCATCACAGGGCTCCATTCCAGGGAAATATCAGGCCCACGGGGTGGACAGACCCTCAGTGTGCAGTCTGTCCAGGCCACCCACCTCCAAACATGCTAGCACTGGCACATTCTCCTGTGTGGTCCTGAGCTGTGTGGGTGTCTCTGATTGCTAGCTCTCAGCTAGACACTGGGGTGCAGGACAAGGAAAGGGGAGACTGGCTTTTGCCTTTCAGCTATTTGCTCTGCTGGGCTGTGTTGGCTGCAGGTGAACACTTGGCTGTCTGTGTCCGCAGAAGTCTTGTGAGGAAGCCCCAAAGCTCAGTGGGATGGTGTTTGCAGAGGGCTCCCAGGAGATGATCAGGCTGTGGGGATGTTGCTCTCAAGACAGGGTTAGTGCTCTACTCTGAAGTCCCCTTAGCTCTCCGCATGTGAGAAATCAGATCTGCTGGCACCTTGACGGTGGACTTCCTAGTCTCCAGAACTCTGAGAATAAATATGTGTCGTCCGTGGTCACTCCATCTCCCTTCCTCTCCTGCCCTTCACTGTCCTCCGATCACAGCCCCCAGTGGCCCACACGGGTGGCTGCTGCCCAGGCTGGGGCTCTGCACGGAGGAAGTCAGCTCTGCTGCCCTAGTGTGGCAGGGCTGCCTCAACTCCCACCCCATACTCCATCGAAGACCTAATGAGAGCAAGGGGCCTGTCTTCCATGAGACATGACCCAACACGGCACCCTGTTTTCAGGAGTTCATTGCCACCTGGGCCCATCTGTTGAGAACTTGGGGTCTGGGGCATTTCACGGTCCTCTTTTTGGGTGTCCAATTGGCCACCCATAGTCCCTGGTGGTCCAGCCAGACTAGAATCTAGGTTTTTCCTTGATGGTATGTAGTAACTGGGTTTAACATTTAGAGTTGGTTAACGTTAGTAACAATGAGCTCTACCCTGGGCGTTGCAGCCCCAGCCTCTGCCTGAGGTTACAGCCTGTGTCTGCCTCACAGATGTCAGATTGGCAGCCCCCACAGTTGTGTAGCTCAGGTCATAAAATCAGTCTATCTGTTCACCTGTCTGACCATCTGTCCATCTATCTATCGATCCATTTCTCCACCTGTCCATCCATCCATCCATCTGGCTTCTTCTATCATTTTTTCTTACTCAGCCTATGGGGTCTTCTTGGGTCCCTCCCTGATTAGACTTCTAGAGCGGATCTTATTCATCAACAGAGCCGGAAATACCCCCACTCCATGTTTAGTCCACACTCCATTCTTGCTGAGAAGGGGAGCAGTGCCCTAACAGTTGCAGCAAAACGGGAAGAGGAAGGAGTCAGCAAAGGGCTGCAGGTCTCCGTGGGGACAAGGACGGCACAGTCACAAGCTCAGAACCGGCTGGCTGTCCCGAGTCTGTGAAATCGGGTGGGCCGTGTTGAGCAAACCCCAGCCCCAGCTTTTGCACAAGTCCCAACCCACCTCCCTATCAGTGCCGGGTTGTCTGAGACTGCAGGAAAGTTGTGTCCAGCCCCCTGCTCTGCCCTTCCTCCTCCCCTTCCTGGCTATCGCTTCTCAATTCTGATGATGTATCAATAACTGCAAAGCAAAATGCCACAGTTAGCAGCGCCGCTGTACTGTAACTAATCGTTTTCTGAATCGATTCTCAGGGTTGTGTGTGTGCAGCGAGGTGGGGCCACATCTCTGCAGCCGCTGCAGCCTCCAGGAATTAGGCACACCAGGGAAGTGCCAAGGGACAAAGAAGAGGGAGGGATAAGGATGGAGCAGGTTTTTTTTTTTTTTTTTAAGAGGGCCTGAAGAGATGATTCTTTATCATATAGAGAATGAGATGAGCCCTACTCTGGCTGGCCTCCCCACGGCAGCACAGAGCACAGGCAGGGAGAGACTGGAGCCCGAGAGCCTCTGACAAGGACGGGTGTAGTGGGCAGGGGTGCCCGCCTGGCCAGACCCATCTCCAGGGTCTGGGCATGAGTCTGTGTCCAGGCCAGACAGCCTGGGGCTCTGAGACAGGGTATCCACAGATGGCGCGGCTGGCTATCAGGTGCCAGGTGTCTTCCTGGGATAGGGACATGGGAAGAGGGCAGACTACCATCCACCCACCTGTTTCATGAACACAAAGACGCAGGTCCAGGGAACTTTCAGACTCCCCTGTGCACAGAAAAAGACCTCAGGCACCTCTGGAATTCATGCACTTGAGATTTTATTGGCCCCATAAAGTGCGTTGCCTCCCTGAAGTCTCTCTGGGCCAAGCTCACGCACACATGGAGTTGACACTGCATGCACAGAGCTGAGGCATAGCCTTAGGGCTACATGTGGTGATCCTCAGGGAAACTGAGGCACAGAGAGCTAGAGGAGCCTGCCCCTAGGCACACAACTGGTCCGGGGGCAGAGCGAGAACCCACGGCCAGGGCACCTGGCTTGGCAGCACACTGTACTCAGTCTTCTTAGCCTAACCCAATTGGTGACTCAGTTTCCCGCTCTGTCATATGAACTCTAACACCTGCCTCCCTCGCTTTCAATACTTCTTGGGTTCTTGCACAGCCCCAGTGGGGCAGGAACCATCAAGAGGTAAGGCAGCAGGGCCTGGGCAGGTGGCCCCAATCCTAGGGGCCTGCTTAGCAAAGAGCCAGAGGAGTGTCTAAAAGCTCCCCAAGCACAGGCCCCGCTCTGAGTGTTAGTCCAGCACACGGGACCACACTTCATTCCTCTACCCACACACTGTCCACCCTGCCCCAGGCATGCGTACCCCAGGTCTGCCCATCTGGGTCCTCACCCCACTCTCTCAGGCAGGGCCAGAGTGGTCAGAGATCTCCTAAAATCCCCAAGGGGTCCAGGAACGCTCCGGAGACTGCAAAGAGGGACTAAGGCTGATAGGGTCCTTTCTCTTGTTGGGGACACGGCCAGGGACTGCTGCTGGCATTGCTCATCCAGCACCTCTGTTTTCTACTGTGAACCCGTGGGGACTTTGGCTCTAAGCTCTGGTCAGCAGTGACTCTGCCAGGGGCAGAGGACCTGCTCCTAAGTTGCGAAGCCCACGAGACCCTCTCTAGCCTCAGGGCTCCCTGGGAGCCCATTCTCTGCCTCCAGGTGCTCCTGTATAGCTAAATGCAAGTCCAGCTGTCCCTAGTATCCATGGGGAGTGGTTCCAGGAGGCCCCAAAGATACCCAAATCTGTAAGTGCTCAAGTCCCTAATATAAAACGGTGTCATATTTGCCTACAGCCTTTGTGAATTCCCCCATACACTTGAAATTAACTATTATATAAAATAGCAAATACAATGTAAATGCTACGCAAATAGCTGTTTAGTGATTAATAACTATACTGTTCAGTGAATAATAACAAGAAAAAAGGCCTGTATGTGCTCAGTAGAGAAGCCATGATTTTTTTCTGAATATTTTTGACCTGTGATCGGTTGAATCTGAAGATAAGCAACCCACAGCTATGGAGAGCCACTCTATTTTCCAGCTCAGAGAAGGTCTACCTCCTCTCCCAGGATTGCCTGAGCCTGGAGACCTGTGCCTGGGCAGCCTGGGAGGACAGTGAGGGTCACAATCCCCACACAGGCAATTTAGCCACAGGGTCCCCATCCCTTGTGAGGTGCCAAAGGCAATGGGGCCTAACAAGAATGTCCAAAGTTTGTGAATGGCTTACTTTAGGGGGAAAAAAAAGGTAACATAGTTTCAGGTTTGGCCCTAAGTCCTTCCCAGGTGCAGGCTGCTTTCCCGAGTAGCAGAAGGAGGTGGAGTCAAACTGTGCATAACCCCCACGCCTGCCAATATACAGGAAAGGGGCAAAGAGTCAGGCAGACCCAGCCTCCACAAGACGCCATGTCTAGCTCTCATGGGAGAAAGATGGGAAAGGCAGAGACAGGACAAGACAGGTGAACACTGACAGCTGGAGACAGTCCAGGTGCCGGGGAACCGTGGGCAGGAGCTGGAACATTCTCGGACCTCGCCCCTCCCTGGCATCAAGAGTACCACTGAGCCATTCCCCCAGTAGCCACACACCACGAATATCCAGTGTGCTTGTCAGTGGAAGCACGGGGAGCAGGCGGGGTGGATCCCTAAGACAAATTTCCACACAGCAGCAGATCAAAGGGAGGGATCAAAAACACATCCACCGGCACAGAGAAGCCCTAAAGCCATAATGCTGAAGGCAAGAAGCAAGTCACAGAAAGAGATCACGCACGTGTGTGTGCCCTTGAAAGAGACACATGCAGTGTCATCGGTCGCTCTTGGTTATGTGTGTATGGACGTGGTTTTTCAAGGGACAGAATTAACAGACACCAAATGAGCATCAGAGCCACTTCCAGGTGTGAGGGAGGGGAACAGGGCTGGCATGCTCAGGGGGGCTGCAGCTTGTTTATTCATTCCTTTCCCTCCTCTTCTGCTTTGCTTCTTCCTCTTGCGCTGAGGATCGAACCCAGGGCCTTCACACTGAGTTCTGTCCCCAGCCCTTGGTGCTCCTCTTTTTTTGAGACAGGGTCTAAGTTGCCTAGGCTGGGCTAAAACTTGTGATCCTCCTGCCTCAGCCATCTGGAATGCTAGGATTATAGGCATGTGCCACCACACCCAGTTTGCCTCATTTCTTCTTGA